TCTCTCTGCCCCGCTCTGTCTTCCTGGCGAGCGCATGTGCCCTAAAGCAAAAAAAAAAAAAAAAAAAGGTAATGATATCAATAAAAACTTCTAATCAGACTGTTCTAGAAGCCAAGAGTATTTATGATTTCAGAGAGGGATGGGGTTGATTTTATAGCTCTAGCCACCTTTGAAAAGGATGTGGTTTGGCAGTAGTGTCCTAGAGAGTGCCTGAGGATAAGCAGGAATCAACTCCGGAATTGTTTGGCTCATCAGCACTATTTCTGCTTGCCAAAGTAGGAGACAGGAAAGGAGCAGCAGTTCATTAGACATGAAAGGGCATAATTTGGTTGGGACCAGCAGTTAGCGTAATGGCTATGTCGCTGGACTCCCACGTAGTCGATCGCGGTTCGTGTCCTGGACCCGGTGGCTTAAAACTCACACCAGGCGCGTGTGCGTGCATGCCCAAGATCCAAAGAGGAGAACAGAGGAGAAGGGATTGCGGTGTGACCATCCCCCCTGGGGGGTGATTTCTCGCTTTCTGTCTCTATGTCTCTCTCTGTCTGTCTGGTGAGTGCACACGCCCTATAGCAAAAACCTCTCAAAAAAAAAAAAAAAAGAGGGCATAATTTGGAAGTAGGAATGTTGGTTCACCATCCTCTTCTTTCTCAATCTGTTCCTCCCTCTGACGGCTGCCTATTGGAAACCCCAGGGCTTGCTAACTATCTCTCTGACACTTACAGAAGTTTACCGGTCCAGAAAGTCTTCCCTCCACAGTGAAAACACAAAAACGAATCAGTGTGCCGGACCAGCAGTTATCGTAATGTCTGTGTCACTGAATTCCCATGTAGTCAAATGCAGTTCGAGTCCTGGACCCAGTGACTTAAACTCACACTGGGCACGTGTGCGTGCATGCCCAAAATCCCGAGAGGAGAATGGAGGAGAAGGGATTGCAGCGTGGCCATCCCCTCTGAGGGGTGATTTCTCACTTTCTGTCTCTCTGTCTCTCTTTCTGGCAAGCGTACGCACCCTATAGCAAAAACCTCTCCAAGAAAAAAACCAACTAAACAAACAAACAAAAACAAAACAAACAAAAAAACTAATCAGTGTGCACATCATCTCAGAAGAGGCTGCTACGAGAGCATTTGTATATCTCAGCTGTGATCCATTTTTATTTTTAAGAAAAGGAATTATTTTATTTTAACATTTATTTATTTTTAATTTGATCAGAGAGGGACAAAGCTAGAGCAAGAGCGAGACAGAGAGAAAGAAGAAGGGAAAGTGAGAAAGCAAGCCACCAGGTCCGGGATTTGAACTGTAGTTGGTCATGTGGCAGTCCGGCATCCATAAGTACCATGCCACCTGCCGGCCCCTCAGCTGTGATCCTTCTATTCCCAGCTGACCTTGGAGAGGTTTTTAGGGAGATATTTTGGTGTGGTTAAGGATGGAGCCCTACATATTTCATCATGCCCACGGCCCCAGTCTGCTCATGCATTTCTTAGTAGGTGTGCTATTTATAAGTCTGATTTTATCATTAAGATGGCATCTTCTTTGTCAGCCTTAACCCGTAACTGCAGTTCTTTGTGACATATGAGCAGTTGAAGAAATTGGATTTGTGACAAGGCTGCATGAGACAGCTCTTTGAAAAGGCTATCTTCCAAAACCGTATAGCTCCTGCGTTTCACTCTGCTTCTCACTGCTTGGCTCTTTGAAGATTCTGGGATATGTGAGCAACAGATGAAGACCGGGGTAATTCTGATGACTGTGCATTGGCATCAGATGCCCGTCATCAAACGTTTAATGGCATAAACTATGACATCCAAACATTAGTCCTCACCACTGAAGTGCCCTTCGGTATCAAAGGTAATCTATGAAGTGCGTGTGTCCTGCTATACAAAACTTGCGAGAAAGTCAGAAACTGTAGTTTTCTTCAGGGGGATGTAGCTCCTAAAGCATCCGAGTTTGAAACTGAGAAGGTCACACTGCTCTAAGGAAGCTCATTGTAACCCTGGAATGGAGCTCCAAAAGGGTGGTGGTGTTCCCAACCTTCTGGGGTTTTTTACTTTTTGTAAGTTGAAGAAATTTCATGTGTGGAGACCTGGACTTTTCAACCCCTGCTATAAACATATAGGAAATAGAGCCTTGGAATATTGCACTGCTTTGTAATTTCCTATTTTGGCAGGATCTTTCACTTATAATAAGTGATTTTGACCTTTTGAAGACTTGACCTTTGTGAGGCATTGTTACAATGTATTGTATCTAATTTCCAGATGGTGTGGAAGTTGAAAGGTCTGTCTGTGTTGGTGGGAGGTGTTTTCAAGCAGCTTACGTTTTGCTCTAGGTGGTGTTAGCGATTTGCTTTATGGTTTTAGCAAAATTTTTAATTTCTTAATCTTTAAAATGGGGATAATAAAATCTATTCATGTAGATAGGGCCCCTGGTAGCCTGATGGTTAAAATGGCTAGATCTCACATGGCTGGCTAAATGGTTCAAGTCCCAGACCCGGTGGCTTGAAAAATACACCAGGCGTGTGTGCATGCAGGCCCAAAATCCTGAGAGGGCAATGGAGGAGAAGGGATTGCAGCATGGGCATCTCCCCTGAGGGAGGTGCTTTCTCATTTTCTCTCTCTCTATCCATTTATCTGTCTCTCTCCGGCAAGTGCATCCACCCTATACCAAACGAACAGACAAACAAACAAAACAAGTCTGTGTGTGTTGAAGACAGCCATCTTACCATGGGCTTCTCAACATAAGCATTACCTTTTGTTGAAGACCATGTTAAGGAAAAAGCAACTATATAAGTTAAAGTTTTTATATGTTGTCCTTAGCAGAATATTGTTGATCAATTGAGTTAATGACTTCAGATTTCTAATTTTTAACTTTATTTTATGTCATGTTTGTAAAAATATTTCCTGTCTTGGACTTCTTAGTTTGGATGGAAAAAACTTGCTTGAAATTTAAAAAAATTTTTTTTTTCTAATTCCATTTGTTGTTATTTTTAAAATTTGACCAGAGAGAGAGAGACAGAGAGAAAGGGAAAGCGAGAAAATAAGCTGCCAGATCTGAGACTCAAACCACGGTCAGCCGCGTGGGAATCCAGTGCCTTTAACCACCACGCCACCTGTCGGCCCCACTTGCTTGAAATTTTAGTAGTGATTTCTTTAGTGCATTCTAGTTTCTGATTAAAGATCCATAATATTTTCCTTTTTGGTTCTAAAGACATGATAAATCATTCTTCCTCTTCTTTTTAAGCAAAAAGAGACTCAGAGTCCCCAGAACTTTACGCTTTGAGGTGGCAGCCCTAAGACAAGGAGTGTAACTTGGGTTCTTTTCAGTTCTACCCTTTGGGCAACATTAAATACATACTGCCTGGAGCTCTGGGCAGACCCCTTACACAGCACTGTGTGCTGGGCACATTCCTAGCTTGGCTAGCCTCTGGGGCTTCATCCTTCATTGAGTCAGAATAGAAGGAAGCAGGTTTTATTCGGGATCAGGCAATTTTCTCCCAGACATTTTCACTTTGCACTCTTTATTTTGTTTATAGGTAGTTTCTTTCTTTGTTTCGAGAGAAAGAGAGAGAGAGAGACAGTATCCCCAGTGGCAGCTCAGTGCTGCAATTTACCTTCAGTCTCACCCAGCCCCAGATCCTGGGCAACGGCCTGCCCAGTGTACTCAGGGAAGTCTCAGACTTGAACCCCTCCCCCTGGGAAGTTGCCTCAGAGAACGTCATTGTCTGACCCCATCCCTGCCTTCTTTATTAATGCTTTCTTTGAAAATGGTTTTGTGAAGCAGACTTTTATTTCCAGAAGTAAGAAGAAGACAAAGTCATTAAAAAGAGGAAAAAAGAAAGGTAGTGGGCTGCTGGGTTGGTGTTAAGGGCGTAGAGCAAGGTGGAAGTCCACACCGCCCTGGCCTCTCCGACTGGCAGTAGAGACTCCTCCACCTGTTCAGGCTTGCTTCTTGTACTGAACCACCTTAAGAGAGCTTTGCCTTCTTACCAAAACATTCCATTGATGTGATCAAAACCATTTCTAGAGTGGTTTTCATCTGTGAGTTGAAAGGATTGCTTTTTCAAACATTTTTTTAATACAAAAAATGTTAAGTTTTATAACATGTATATACAATTTCTGAAACAGTACAAGCAGGTTTATTTTGAAGACTGTAAAGAGCGAATGTCAGGCAGTGTTCACTATTATCAATTTGTTCAAACCTGTGCATGATCAGACCAGGATGAAAAAAAATTCAACCTTCACTCCAAAACTAAGCAGGTTTTAAGATAAAGATACAGTATTGCTTCACTGTAGATGAAGTGCCTCATAGGACAGAATCTGAACCCGCTTTGTTTCTTCCCCTTGTTTTCCTGTTTTCTGAGAGAGTTAATACACATGTTGAAGCTTCCAACCAAGAAACGGCTTAAGGAATTGGGTGACTTGGTCCCTTGTTTTCAGGTGTGCAACTGTAAGTCCTTCTTTCCCTTGGAGATTGCTTAAACATGGCAGAAGGATTTCTAGTTTTTGATAACCAAATCGATGAAAATATTTTCTTGTTTGTTTATGGATTTGTGTAATTGATGCTAAATGTTGCTCTTCTGTGATGTGAAAAATGGCTGCTGTTCTCTATATTTATTCATGTGCTAGAAATAGTATGCATTACATAAAGAGTATACATTTTTCATAAGCCTTTGTATTTCAAGCTGTTTATTTAAACATTTTTGGAATATGTGGCATAAACCATGTTTCATTTATTTAATAAACTGGAGTAACATGTAATAACAATGATTTGTCATCATTTCAGGTGAATAGGAACTTTTAAATAAAGGCAAACTGTAGAAAAGTCCAGAAAGCTGGGGTAGAAACAGTGTTTGTTAGTTTGTTTATTTATAGAGTGGTTTTTGCTATAGGGTGTGGGCACTCACCTGAGAGACAAAGAAACAGAGACAGAAAGCAAGAAATCACCCCTGAAGGGATGGTCACTCTGTAATTCCTTCTCCATTCTCCTCTTGGGATTTTGGGCATGCGCACAAACACATCCAGCATGAGTTTTAACCTGCTGGGTCCAGGACACAAACCATGGTCCACTACGTGGGAGTCCAGCAATGTAACCATTACGCCATCTGCTGATCCCTAAAAACAGGGTTTATAAAAGTGGCTGCAACATTCCTCTCTTCATGGAGAAGTTGTTGGGATCATCATACTCATAGCCTGGTACCTACATGACCATCCTCACCCCCCAACCACCCTTTCTGTGAAATACTTCTGCAGCTCAGTTGAAGCTTGTGAACTTGATTTGTGGACTGGCTTGGCAAGGTAGCTTGGGCCCTCACAAACAACAATGTGATGATGCCTGTGTTGTTCTCTCAGGCCTTCTTCAGGTTCTCTCAGGCCTTCTTCAAACGCTGGGTGTTCCTAGAGGTGGGGGCTCTGATCCCTTAGCCAGCTGTGGACCTGGCAGGGACACCTGGTTGGCAGAAAACAACCAGAGAACTAAACGTGTACTTGGTTTGTCTTTTTTTTTTTTTTTTACTTACAATAAACTGTCTTAACATTCTAATTAAACATAATAATTTATTTAAAAACTAGAATTGGGATAAAGAGACTTTTGTTGCTGTTGTTACTAGACTTTTTTTTTTTTTAGAGCATTTTCAAGTTCTCAGCAAAATTGAGTGGAAGGTGCTAAAATTCTCTTATACCCCCTACTTCTCCCATTATCAACATCCCACACCAGAGTTGTACATTTCTTACAACTGATGAACCCACATTGACACATCATTATCTTTCAAGGTCCAAGTTTACTTTACGTGCACTCTTGGTGTTGTACATTCTGTGGGTTTGAATGTATGTATAATGACACATGTCCACAATTGCAGTATCGTACAGAGCAGCTTCACTGCCTGAAAGGAGGGATTTTTTTTTCCATAGGGTGTGTGTACTTGCCAGAGAGAAAGGGAGAGTGAGAAAACACCCTCCAAAGGGGTGTGGTCATTCTGCAATCCCTTCTCCATTTCTCTGTTGGATTTTGAGCACACATGCATACATGCCTAGAGTGTCTTTTAAGCCTCTAGGGCCAAGATTTGAACGATGTAGTCAGCCTTGTGGCATTTGACTCACTTTACCAATCCACAGGCAGGCCCAAGGGGAGACTGATTCAGTTCTACCTAAAAGACTGAATGACACACCCTTACACAGTGATTTCGTGTGAAGGTTGAAAGAGGTGGCTGCTGGGTTGTCTCAATTGCCTGTGAATAGTACAACCCTCCCTCGGATGATGGCAGCTGTCAAAAACATTTGACTTTAAATCCAAGATATTTATTTTTAAGCCAGCAGCGGAGAAAATGTGACAGTATTATTTAGCCATTAAAAAAACAAGGCCCTGGAATTTGACAGAAAGTGGACGAATTTGGAAGATTTGTTGCTGAGTGAAGCAAGTCAGGCTATGAAGAGAGACACTGTATGTCTCCACTTAACATATATAGACTGTCCACACTCTATGGTAGAGACTGAAAGATTAGAGGACATAAAAGCATTAAAAATTGTGGACAGTAGAGACAAAGTGGAAGGAGAGTGTGGGAGGGGAAGAGTGCAGGAAAGGAAACTAGGGGGAAAATATGGCGAGATAAGATATTCGAGGGACACAGATATGGTTTGTTATCTTTTGATGAGGATGCGCTTAGTATTCTCAACTGGACTGAGATGTGTATCATGCT